TGGCATTTTTACTGTGTGTGTGTAATGTGCACACACTAAAAATGACATCAGTCTGTTTTTAATAGAACCTCTTTAATTTATCTTCAGTACTATTTGGACATGTAACAAAAGTATATTCTTGGTGTGAAATGTTAGAGTTAATGTTAATAGGTTAAAATAATACATATTAATAGAGTATAAGAGTAGACCTACTGTATTTCTGAAAGTGTTGCTATACGTATTAGTGTCAAGGATTGGTAGTTCTCTCATATGCATATGTAGTCTGCAGATAGCAATATAAAAAAATCAGACAGCATTTTATGAGCAGTCCAGTAGGAATACTTTCACAGCTTTGAAACATGATTCATTTTCCTTTGTCATTACATGGAGCAATAAAATCATATAAGCGTTAATAAAGTATGACATATTGTAGGATAATTTTTAAACACTTTTTAATGTCTCTGTGATTATATTCTGTGTGCTCTTAATCTTCAGGCAGACCACATTGTATATGAGCAAGTTTAAAGAAAGAAAGGGGAAAAAAAAAAAAAGTCAAATCATGGTTCTTATTGGTTCTACTTTTCAGCAGCCTTAATATACTGCACAATCAAACCTTGATGACTGTATCCCTGATTTATTGATTTATTTGGATATCTGAATAAACTAAATGTTAATTAATCTTTAGTATCTTTGTGGGTCATTGATCTGCTAAATCTGAACTCTTCACCCAAATAAAAATGTAGTTTGGCAACTAAATTTAGGCTAATGTACACACACATACATTGAGAGGCATTGATTGTGATCAGAAAATTTGCCCTCTATATTCAGATGACTTCATTTTCAAAAGTAGCTGCATGCAAAAACGTATGGGGTTACTATGCTGTTGCACCAAATGAATTAATTGTACTTACAGTGGCCACTACAAGTCAAAGGCCTGATCATTTTCGCCACACAACATTCCAGTAAAACAATGATTATTTTGAACAGTTTGGTTCATCACCCCTGTTCTGTTCCTCACCGGGACAGCCAAGCAATGTGGACACATCAAGTGCCCCCTTAGTGGCCAAAGCAGTAGGGAGGAGATAAGCAATCATTTGTTTGTTATTAAATAGGATGGAGACGTAAAGGGTAGGAACATCATGTGAGCTGGGAGAGTAGAGTCGAAGGCCTCTTCCTATGTTTGGTGGTGGAAAAGGGGGAATTCTCTCACTTCCTCTAAAAATATGTAAGATCAGCTGTGTTCGACAACATTTGCACTGAGTATCTCTTCTGACAGTGCAGGATATTAGCACAAACAAAGGTTAGCTCCAGCGCTTCCATTGTCACATATGAAGCTTGCTTCTGCTGTGGACATAACAAATGGCAATTTTTAATTAAGTTACCGATATCTATATTGGGAGCAAGCGTCATTTCTCTTGGTGTTGTGCTCCTTTTCAGCTCTGCTCACTACTCCTCTCTCCCTCTCCCTCCCCCCCAAGCAGTGAAAGAAGTTACTGCTAAAACCTAATGTTTTCCCAGAGTAGAAAAATAACATCCTTCTAGTTTTACAAATGCTAGAAACGACATGTTATTTCCACCACGCTGGTATTTCCTGTTCTTCCAAAGAATAGGAGTTATTGAAGCAATTCACTCTCTACTTGTGTGGTATAAACAAATATTATTGGGTGCAATGTTAAGCTTCACCCAACCCTTAGGCCAGTTGTCTTCAAGCTATTACTTTAGCTTGCCAGGGTAATCAGAAGGTCAAAGCAAGTAACATGAATGAGCTGTATTAATCTACCTGTCTCGTTCCTGCAGGACTCTGCATTTTCTCTGATTGCCTTGTTGGGTTTTACAGATTTATGCAGTTCATTATAAAATATTGAGAGCAGATCTTAACTAGCACAGCCCTAGCTTCAGCTGCCAGTTTACACCTGCTTTCAACAGGTTTTGAAACCAAAGCTGCCACAGTAAAGGACAGGTGAGGGAGGGTTGAGTTTCTTCTAATGGGTTACGAGTCCTTTGCCTGTAAATTTGCAGGAAAAGAGGGTTTTGGTGGATAATGTTTCCCACCCCCTTCCTTGCCGTGGTCTCACTGACACTCTGTGATAGAGCTGTCTCAGAGCTCTTCAGTTGCTGGACTAGGCTTCAGCAACATATTAAAAAACCTGCATGGCAAAATGCTGGAATTTTTTGTGTGTGCCAGCTTCATTCAGACCCACTCCTCCCACACTCTGCTTTCCTTTGTGAAATACAACTGGTGAGAGAGATCTGTGCAGTCATTAAATCCCTCCCCTGCACACACACAATCCACAAAAGGGACTTGGGGATTATGACGCTCATTGTCACAATGCCTAGCTCTAGCTTTTAGGTGCCTAGAAAACTCACAGGAACAACACTGTGATCCACAAAGCCTGAGTTTGGCACTGAGGCTCCCCATACAATGATTGGGGAGAGAGAGGGGCCTTGGAATGGGATCCGCAAAACAGCACTCTAGGCAGGAGCTGCCTAAACTATCCAATGAAAGATGTCGACAAGAGGGGTGTGTCCTGAACAGCGAGCGCCCCTCTTGGAGTTTAGAACCTCAGTCCAGGCTGGAGGGAGGAACCTATCTCTGTTGGTGATTCCCGCACCAGGGGAAGACAGGCATTCAGCTGCCTAAGTCATGTGCAGGGCCCAATCCAGTAGGTGTGCTCAAAGCCTGGCTAATACTATACAAAGCAGGGGGAGGAAGGCCTCTCCGATCACCTTTAGCCTGGTGGTTAAGGTACTCATCTGGGATGTAGGAGATCCCTGGCTCAAGTCCCGCTTCTGCCTGATGAATAGAAGATGGGATTTGAACAGGAATCAGCCAGCTCACAGGTGAATGATCTAACCACTAGGCTATGGGATAGTCAGATGCGGGGCTTCCTCAATCTCTCCTGTTGAAGCTGTTCCACTGCAATTATATAATTGAATAATTAAATACTAATTGGGCCAGAGATAAGGTTCGAATGACTCTATATCCCAGTGGTTTGGGCACTCACCTGAGGGGTAACAGATCCCTGTTCAACTCCTTTCTCCTCCTCAGGCGGGGGGGTAGAGGGGGCTCTCCCACATCCCCGCATGAGTACCCTAACAATTGGGCTAAAGGTTATAAGGGAAGTCGTCGTCCTCTGAGTTATTTTGTGTGAGCTCACCAAGGGGCCCAGTCTGATAGGCAGCCTCTGAGCATACCTACTGGAGTGGGCCCCACGTGCTATTTAGGTGGCCAAACACCTATCTTCCCCAATTCGTGCACCGCTCTGGGTCAGAGGCAGGAGATGGGTGCCTGGACACCTCAAAGGAGAAAGCAGATTACATGCTCAGAGGCAGAAATATAGGCACTAGGGAATTTTTATTGCAAAAACGTAGGTACTGAGTGACTTGAGGCACCCACAGGGTTAGACGGCAGCTGAACAGGTGTTTTGTGGATTGCAGTGGTGCCTAAAAATGGGATTTAGGTACCTAGTACTTTTGTGGATCCCACTCAGAGTCCTGAATTTAGCAGAGGCAAACATCAGTAGCCTTCAAGAGGTCATTTGCTAACTGGCTGCTGCTTGAAGCATGCCCCTCCCTGCCAGCCAGTAGATATTCCTGTGAGGCTTTCCCTGTGTGTTATCACTGAGGAGATTTTTGCATCAAGAAAATGAAGTAAATTTGAGTAGTTATGATTTTCTCAAATATATTCATCTTTTTGCAGCTATTCATGAACAGAAAAAGAGGCAAATATTGATTCATTATGAATTATGAGCTCAGCTCTAGATTTTCTCCTTCATATCATTATTGTCTTTTCTTCAATTTATTTAGTTAGTTAGCTAGTTTACGAGAAGAGTTAGCGCCCTGGGGCCCTATTGTATGAAAAATTGAGTGGTATATTTAAAGATCCTATTTTATTTTCTGTGTTCTCTCTATGGCAAAAGACTCTTAAAATCTTTAAAAGTAAGGCATTGTATTGTAAAATAAATTACCAAATACTTTTCTTTAATTCTAAGATTAATTGGATTAGATTTTATGCGTCGGGAAATAATGGCCGTACCATTCTCAGAAGAGTGTGTTATTCATCTGACCTCTGTGTGGAAGAAGGCAGTAGGGAGGAAAAAAAGGTATTAAATGATTGAGATGCTGGTCTGTCAAAGGAGGCCATTGGGTCAGAGAAAAATAAATTATCCGTGCACAGCCTAGAGGTAGAGAGGGCAAGGGAAATGTAACCCTTTGCAACTGATTTCTGAGCAGATACAGATTGGAAAGCAGACCGCACTGCAGTGCACTTAACTGGTCACTCAACATGTTCCTTTGGCAGTGGGGGATGGTATTATGACTGCACAGTTATTCCGGATTAAATACTTTCATGAATATTTTTTCTCCTTGCAGGACCCTAGACCTTTGTACACTAGAAGGTGTCAGTTTTATTCAAGTGGAATAGGATTCTTATACGATGCCTACCAGACAGAGGTAAACAAAATGATATCATAGCTCATTCATTTCCTTTGGGATGTTCTGAGGGGTTCATTAGAAGCCCAAATGTTCTTTTTTTTCCCCAATAGCACCCTCAATAATGTATTTCTCAGAAGGTTTTTGTGAGTTGACTATAATATTTACATCACATATAGCCATTCTCATTCCATCTTTATTACATAATCCTCTGAGGAGGTTTTGCTGCCTGGACTATTGTAGTAAATATCTAAGTTATTAAATTTGCATTAGCCAGAAAACTTCAAATCTCCACTGTAATCATCTAAGATAAGCCAAGAATGTCCATATTCTGTATTCAGCTTCCCTTTATTATCTCAACCATATTAAAATGGCAGGAAGAATAACCGTACCCAAATAGGTTGCCTCCTGAAAAATCTAGACTTAGTTTTCCCCCCCCCCATATTCCTTAGTATTAATTCTATTAATTCTGTGTTTTTCCCTCAAATGTGGGATTCCAGACTGGTGGTAGCAAGAAGGAAATAAAGCAGAGCCGAACTGAAAATAGACAAACAGTATTAGGGCTTACAGGAAGCCAGATATCCGTAATCACAGTTCTTTCCACAGCTCTGAATGAGCTTATGGGAAATGTTACTGTTAATAATATTAGACAAGTCAAGTCTTTTACAAGTGTAAATGAGTAATGCAGTTGGAACCAGAGCATTCTGTAGTTTAAGAAAATATATTAAAGGAATATTTTACTGATCTTCTTGCTGACCTATCTGAATAAGACATAGGGCCTGTGTCAGCATCTTTTCCCATCATTTTAATTCCCTCTTCTCCCCACAAAATAAAAAATACCAGGGTTATGTCTACCAAGTAAACAGAACTATTTCTCTGCTAAAGTGAAGTTGATTAAGCTTCCCTGTGGATTTTCTCAAGCAGACCTCTTGACTCTAAAAGGCATCAGAGATATTCGACTATGTCTTGAGCTCCTAGGAATGTATACATTTGAGCAGCTTTGAGATCTTTGCCCTCTTCTGGCAAAAAAAGTAATATGGGTTTATAGCATCTTTATTTTAATGCCCTTGTAATAAATTCTTGTCTGGTTGTCCACTGACATGTTTTTCCAACTGAATTGAACTGGATTTCTGTAAACTAATCCAGAGATATTGATCCACAGCTGTCAAGTTTAGCTTTTGTGTTTTTTATTTTAACCAACTGGTTACCAGCTGGCATGACCCACATTCCATGCAAATTTCTCACCAAGAAGGCAGATTATTTGCTTCATGCAGTTCTCCTGAGCACAAGTTTCCTTAGAAAAGCCATTGATAGCGTGCAAGTGATACATAACTGGTGGACTTTTGCTCGTTTCATTTCCTTCCTTTGGCAGAAACAGATGGAATTTGATTTTCTTGCAATTACTATGAGGCGAGAACATCTCTTAAATTGGTGTTGAGGGCATGGAGAGGCACAACCAGGCAAAGCATGAAAAAGATAATAATCTGGTCTCTGAAATGAAGGAATGGGACTTGACATGCAGAATAACCACAAGTGGCACATGATTTAGTGCCTGATTCTGTCCCCCTTGCTCACATTGAGTATTTATTTGTTTGGATTTATTCACTGCTCTCATAAAAAGGAGTGCTTGTTCTTGGCACTCCAAGCACATTTTAAAAATTCAGTTTTAAAATAGACAACTCCAGTAACCCTCTCATCCAATAATTAGTATATATCATAACTCAGAAGCTGAAAATATATTTAAGATCTGTACAATCTTCTTCTAATATACTCCCAAACTCTTTCAGACAGGGGAAATGCATGGGCCTTGCAGCATGCCTTGAATGTTGATAAACTAGGACAATTTCAAACCAAGAGTGAGTCCCAGAACCACAGAGTCATCACAGAGAATGGCCTTCCAGGTACCCCTCCTCTCTTGTACAAATGGGGCATCAACTCTGGAGTCCCTCCTGATCTCGAGTCTGGCAGCATGGCATAAGGAGAGAGGTAGTCTTTAAGATACATAGGTCCCAGGCCAATACGAACATATGTGATAGGTTAGAACCAACCAGCAGCTTAAATTTTACCTAGTTGCCAATAGGTAGCCAGCACACATCCAAAAGCACTAGTGTCATGTGCTGCCAGGTAGATGCCCCCTGTAACAAGCAAGTGGCTAAGTTCTGCACCAACTTGATTTTACAGATAGATTTAAGATGCTGCCACATGTCATGCAGTATAGTGGCACTTGATTAGATTGCTGTAGTCACTGAAACTAGTGGGTCTCCTCATAAAGTAAGTTACTATTCAGTGTGAGGAAGGGCAGCAGAATCAGGCCCTTGGTGATTTATGCCTTCAGTTCAGGAAAGCACTTATGCATGTACTGAAGTCCCATTGACTTGAAGTAAAAAAGACAGAGGTAAACAAAACACACCATAATTCAGTGGGCTTGAGATGGAGTAAGCTATATCTGTATCAAATTGTGAATTATGTATTGCAGCCTCCATCTTGGATTGTAACCTTCATTGTGACCTTCATTTCATAGTGTAACCTCCACTTTGGATTAGAGCATCCAGTTTGTATTACAGACTGAACACATGTATACCTTGCCCAGGGCAGGGTTATTGTGATATATATGAGACAGACACCTTACCCAGGAAAGGGGCTTGACACCTGGCTGAATGAGTGTGATAGTGAAGTTAGCACAGAGCAATCAACCTTTGATTATCTGTCAACTACTAGACCATCTTCATGCGACAGTGGACTCTCTGCACATAAGCCAAGCTGGGGGAAGGGTCTAGAATTTCCCAGCTGGAGCACATGGGCAAAATAGGGACAGAGACTGTATTCAAGGGTGGGCTTCTCTGATCAGGAGGACCGACCATCACCACGTGCCAGAAAACAAGGTTGGAAAGAGAGAAGAGGCAGGGGGGGACTCTGCCTTGCCTGAAACGCTGACCAGAATTCAGGCTCACAGAAGGAGTGAGAACCAGATCTCAGGACTTTTGTTATTTTGCAAAGATTTGTAATTCTCTAGTGATTTCTTATGAGTAAAGTGGCTGTGGTTAAGAAATTCCTTTGCTAAGCCTGTATTCCATATTTGCCTGCCACATTTTTCCTGAAGCGGTTAATTGAGACCCTCAAAGTGCCCACAGGAAGGTGGACCTCTGAGGGGGAATGTATAAGCAAATGTGGGGGCAGGAGGCTCAAGAGGGCTGAAGTGTTGGCTTCAGGGTCTAAGGCAGACAGGCTGTGGGACCCCACGTCCCAAGGAAGGGGAGCAGCCATGAAGTCTGCCCCTGGGAGGGACCCAGAGGTGTGAACAGTGACCCAGCTCTTCCCAGGCTCGGTGGCTTAGTAGCATGTGAGATCCAGTGGTTGGGTCCACACAAACCAGTCCTTGCAAAGGGGGACTAGGCCAGGTTGTGACACGACTCATCGAGCAAACTCATTGACTTCAATGAGATGTAGGCTCATACTTAAAGTGAAAGATGTGCTTAAGTACTTTGCTGCGTCTGGGACCTATATCATGTTGTGATGTTCTCTCAGTTAGCTTGTATCCATTGTATGGTATCTTGGCCTACGCCAAGGGCACGCTGCTTTTCTTTTTCTTTTCTTCTCCAGCCTCATCAGTTGTGGGCCCTGCACAAAGTCCATTGGTTTCAGTAGGAGTAAGGTATTACTTAATGTGAGCTAGGGTGGTAGAATCAGACCCTAAACCATGTGCCATTTGTGTTTGTTCTGCATATCAAGTCCTATGTCTGCATTTCAGTGACCAGACTGTTACCTTTTTCAAGCTTTGGCTGTTGTGCCTTGACCTCCTCTTAGCACCAATTGAAGGTAGCCAGCCAGCCAGTCAGGCAGCGGCATAGACAGCTGCAGCGGCACAGGAGCCAGCAAACAGAGCTGTAAACAGGGGAGTTTCAGTGGGAGTTTGCAAGGGGAGTTTGCGGGTGAGACTAAGAGAGCTAGGCAGAGGAATAGACAGGCTAGTGAAGGGCGGGGGTGGTGTTCTGCTGGTGTTTTGGTGCCCGTTGGGGGTTTGTTTTGCTGTGGGTGTTGGTGGTTTGATTTGTGTTTCCCGGACTAACAGGTTTTAGGTGGGAAGGCCATGACCGATACAGAGGCAGCAGTGGAAGACACAATGAGGATGACTGGATGTGGAAGCTGCAGCATGTACATGATCCTGGAGGGGGTATCTGAAAAGAGTTTTGTTTGCATGAAGTGCTGCCTGATAGAGCTGATGGAAGAAAAGATCCGAGGATTGGAGATGCAGGTGGAAACTCTGGTGGAGTTTAGAAGAGGGTTCGAGCAGATGATGGAGCAAAGACATGAGGAGACTGAAGGAAAAAGCTCAGACTTGCAGATGGAAGCAGGACCAAAGAACTCTGAGGGGAGACTCTCCTCACTGCTGGGTGAGGAAAGTCGACAGTGGAAGCATGTGACTAAGAGAACCAGACAGAGGAAAAGACAGGCTAGTGAAGGAGAAATAGAGCTCAGGAACAGGTTTGCGGAGTTGGAAAATGAAGAAGGGGCACAGCAGGTGGTCGCTGAAGGTGAGAGGGCAAGGAAGAAGAGCAGAGCAGCTAGTCCTATAGGAAGAGGGGAAGAGTCAATGGAGATAACAACACCAAATATGAGCCCCAGGAGGATACAGGATGGATTGCGGAGGATTGCAAGGGACAATAGAAATTGAGAGGACTTGCAGCCAGAAGGAGCAGGGGATAGACCGGAGAATCGCACCATCACCAGGAAAAGGCAAGTCTACATGATTGGGGACTCCTTACTGAGAAGAATAGACAGGCCTGTAACTAGAGCTGATCCAGAGAACAGAAGGGTGTGCTGTCTGCCGGGTGCTAAGATACGGGATGTGGACCTGAGGCCGAAAAGGATCCTAACGGGAGCGGGAAAGAATCCGCTGATTGTCCTTCATGTGGGAACAAATGATATGGCTAGATTCTTGCTGGAATGTATCAAGGGACTGTATGCCAGGCTGGGGAAGACGCTTAAGGAAATCGAGGCTCAGGTGATCTTCAGTGGGATTC